TTGATCTAAATAAGCTTCTCTCTGCTGCTTCATGGCATGGAATATGTTTAGTTCATTATCTTCTGATATTTCTTGTCTCTGTTCCAACCTTTACACCATTGCCTTGTGCCTGGTACTTTCACTCATCAGCTTTTAGGAAACCTGGCGCACGACAGGTACTAAAATCAGTTGATTGGCTAATAGGCTTGCTTCCTAACTGAAGAATGCTACATTGGGGCCCACCTCCCTCATAAGCTCCAAGCTGAGGAGCATCCAATGCCAGCCAGGCTGGGCTGACATGCTTGGCTAAGATATGCACTTTGAAGGACAGATATGTCCAGGCCTCACCTTCACCCAGTAGGAAAAAGTTTACATGTGCTTGAAGTCACAGGCATCATTCCTTAGGTGCCATCTACTCTATTTTCTGAGACATGGTCTCTCATTGGCCTGGAACTTATCCAGTAGTCCAGGCTGCCTGGCCACATGGCCCCAGAGATCCACCTGCCTCTGTGGCCCAGTGTTGGATGTAGAGCATGCTCGCTTTTTAATGAGGCTTCTGGGAATCAAATGTGGGTCCTCCTCTTGGAAGGAAAGCCATTTAACCAACGAAGCCTCTCCCATCCCAGAAGCTGTTTGGAGATGGACCCAGGTCAAACCAGTGGATATGGTATAATTTGTGGAACTTGAAGTGTCCCACATCAAGTGCTGGTCTGCTGTTTGTCTGGGTTCACCATCATGTCTGCAGCCATGGGTGCTGTCCATGTGATCATCTTCTGAATCTTTGAAAAAATAGGTCGATTTCTTCTTTAAAGAAAAGGATGGCCCTCCTCAGTAAATCTGAGACTCAAGTAACCTACTCGAGATTGCACAGCTGCTGGGTGAGGAAGCCACGTCACCCACCTGGCTTCTGAGCCAGCATTTAAATGCCATACCACACTGCCCTTTCTATCAGGCTCATCCCTCTATTGGAAACTTTTTTCTGTATCCTTTTCTCATCCCTGCCCTCTTCATCTTGTTCTTTCTTCTCCACCTCATAGTCTTCTCCACCTCCCCAGCCCCTCTCTGGCCTTTAACTCACTGTTTAGGGTTTAAAGACTGTTTCTTTCCCACATGCCTGACCCTCCTCCCTGAGCCTGCCCAGAGTAGAAACCAGACCTTCCTCTATAGCTGTGAACAGCAACTGCCTTCTTTCTTATCAGACCCAAACCCCTGGAGTGTCAGGAAGGTGGAACCCAGGTACAAGGATCCATCAAGGGACATCCATCAAGGGATGTCCCAAGCTCCATGAAGGGGATGCAAGCGGCTAAAGGGCTAGAAAGAGGTTTGACAGGATGCTTCCTATTTGAACTCTAGGTGAGCTGGGAGTCCATGCTGGACATACAAGAGGTTAAGGGAATCTAAATGTGGTAGCAAGGTCAAGAATGCGACAAAGTTGAAGACAAAACCATGGGAAGAATGAGCTGGCTCTTGATGGTAACAAAAATGATGTCAAGAGCTCAAAAGTAATATACTTGGGTGGTACCAACAGTCTGAGAAGATCTGGGCCATCTTTTGTCTTCCTGCCCCAGGGACAAGAAACTGAGACCCTGATGGTCTAAAGCAATATGAATGCCTGCCTGCCCCCAGGGATCTCATACAAAGATAAAGAGTGGCTGTGGTTTCTGATTAAAGTAATTCTTTTCTGGTTTTATAATAGAGGAGAGAGAGGGAAGGGGGAAAGTGAGAGGGAGGGGATGGAAAAGGAGAGAGGAAGGGAGGGAGGGAGAGAGGGAGGGAGGGAGGGAGGGAGGGAGGGAGGGAGGGAGGGAGGAAGGGAGAGACAGAAAGAAAGAGAGAGAGGATTATTCCCTTATGATAAACCAGGCTTGACCAAATATTTTTTTAACCCACCTATCTTCATATCAGCTCATCTATATTCATTCATTTTCAGGAAATTTGAGCTTTAAAGGTAAAAGATAGCTAAATATTGACTCACCAACACCGTTCTCTTTGTGTCATTTTCTCTGAGAGTGGTGGACAGTTTCAGCTAGGAAGGATCTTTTTTGGGGACTGCCCTCATTTGGTATGCCAGGTAGGTGGTTCTGGGGATCACACAGTGCCAGATAAAGTGCCAGATTTAGCCTGTTCATGAATGATCTCTGTTGGCAGAAATTGAGAAAAGCAACCATTTCTTCATAGAGATGAGCTCTCGCAGTCAGTACTGGCATGTGGATTTTGTCAGTACTTCTTGCATTGAAGGTGACTGTGATCAGATCCAGGAGAGAAGACCCATGTGAGATTTCATGATAGGCAGCATCAACACTGGACTCAGGGTTCTTTCTGAGCTCTGCCCTGCGGTTCAGCTTCAGAGCAATGCTTCATGTTCTGGGAATGGGAATGGGTCCCATCTTGCATGGGGCCCAAGAGCCCTGAGATAGTATGTCTGACACCGGGTCATCAAGGACGATGGAACCCCCTGCACACAGGGGGCTGGCTATGGAAAGAAGGTTTTGTGTGTAGTGCAAATTCAGTCCATAGTTCAAGGGCCACATGCCCCAGGCTAGACCCTGATACACCAGCCTCCAATGCTTCTGAAGCTCAGCTCTCTCTGCCCCTGACTGTCAGTCATCAGTGGGCTGCAGTTCCCAAGGAGAACTGACCTAGGACAACATACCCTGTACTTAACTAATTTTCCCCTAGCAGTGGCTGAGGTGGAAGAGGCTAGGCTTTTCCTAAGTCACCCCTCAACAGCACAAATCCCTTTCAGATACATAATCCCTAGGCTTCAGTAGTCTGTGGCCCTGCCTCAGTTGCCCCATGGTCTTTGCTACCCCTCTCCTCCTACTGGCTTCACATGGTCGAGAGCAAACAGCCCTGCATAGTTTGCTCTCAGAGAGTCTGTGAACTGACAGGGGGCTTCCTGGTGAGGTGTGTCCTACTCAGGCCCTCACGGTGGTGATGCTAGCTCATGTCAGTCAGCACAGCACGTCACAGTGGGTCTCTTGGTTCACCTAGGAATCGGATCATTTTTACTTCCTGGGCAGGGTGGTTAGAGAGCAATACATTGATTGGGTCTATGACACTGAGCTTGGCATGTTCAAAGACATATGGAGTTGAGGAAGTCCTCTGATAAGGTCTGAGGGTGGACAGAGTAGGTCTGGCATCTTCTTAGAAGGCCAGCTCCTCTCCTGGGGGCTTTCCAATGCTGCCTGTCTGATTTTGAGTCGATCTTATTGTGAGTGAATTAATTGTTGTGCAACCTAGAGTGGTGGGACAAGTTAATTACATAATTACCGCAGAATGACATGTTATTTCATGGCTGCAATATGGTAACTCTGTTGGAAACAATTGTAATTGCCCAGAAACTGCATTCAAGTGGTTCCGTTATCTCTCCATAACCATGTAATTAACTTGTGTTACAACTTTATCTGCAGTGAACTCTGAAGTTAGGAGTCAGGCCTTTGGGGCAGGCATCCTAGGCCTTAAGGGCCCTTGGAGGGTTTGGCATTGAGGACTGTGCTACAATCCAGCAAAGTAATCTGTTTTTTTCAAGTTGAGTGGGGAAAACTGCTCATTGTAGACTGTAATCCTCCTGTCCATGCATATAACCAGCCTCATTCCCGGCCCACTGTCAATCAGCACCCCTACCCAGCCCTACCCAGCGCATACCACACACATAGACACGCCCTGCACCCAGGCCCACTGTCCCTTTGCCTCTCTTTTCTCACATATACATGGGTATAGCTCCTTCACAGAGAACTCGTACACAGAGAATTGGTTCTACCCATTCCTTTCCCTGGCCACAAAACCAGGACTTAGGGAAGTGGCCTTTCTCAGGCACCTGAGAGCGTGTCTCCACACTTCAGAATGGAGGAGCAGGCCTGGCACATAGATATGGGAGGTGCAGCCATAGCTGGAGGCCATAGTCAGCTTCCTTCAGCACTGTGGCCAGGTGGAAAACAGGCTCCGAGGAAGAGAAAGAAACAAGGGTCTGGGTGGAAAGCCTTCCCTGGCCAGGCTTCTTTCTGCTGCCCACAGTCTGCTCTGCTCCCTCCTAGGTGCTGTGCCCAGTGCTATGGCATTATCCCCACTACCCAGGGAGAGCCCAGTTCAGCCAGGCAGATAGAAACACCAAACTGTCTGCCTGTCTGTCTGCCACAGGTCCGGCTATCTTCTGGCCTGGGCTGACTGCCTACTGGCTCACCTGCCTGTCTCTTCTGCCTGTCCACACATGTTTGTCCGACAGCGTGTCCATTGGCTCACCTGTCGCTGACTGTCGAGAGTCATCATGGCCCATGCCTGCAGGAATGGGCCTATCTCCCTATGAGCTCCCTATGAGCATTCTGTCTCCCCTGGTGTGCTCCGTCAGTTTTCCTGGCTTTCTTCTCCTTTCTCCTACTGAAGTTCCCAGTCCTCAGCAGACTCCTTAAGAGCAAGGATGAGACTGTCTCATCAATGATTCAGCCTCATACCTGATTCCCTTAGGGTTAGCTCCAATAGAGGCATAAGGCTAAGATTTAGAGTAGACTGGGGTTTACTAAGTGACTGACTGCCCCCAGCCCACAAAGACAAGCTGAAGGGAAACAGAAGGCTCCTGATTGATGAACAAGACACTAGGATCGAGGTTAGACCCAATGAAAACTATCTGACACTGTAAAAGGGAAGGGGGATAGGAGGGTAGTCATGATATGAGGCTTTGGATGTGGGCTCTACTATGGAGCAGGGCAGAACTGGGTCCCCATCTGGTCACTTTGCTAGAGATTCCAGTGAGGGAGAGATGGGCTAAAAGACCACGGAATGTCATGCTGCCCTCTTCTTAGGGTCTGTATCACTGCAGGAAGGGAGGGAAAGCCCAGTTCTCACCTGTGGCTGGGGCACTCTGAGCTACTCCCTTCTTCTGACCCTACAGCCAAGCTCATTTCCCCTGCCTGGCGACAGCATATGCTGGACTCTGCTTCTCCGTGTCCTACCCAGCAGGGGCAGAAGGTGGGGAAGGGCAAGTCTGTGTCAGTCATGTGAACAACGCAGAGTCGTGTCCCCGGAAACATTCATAAGTTTAATCCACGCCAGTAATAAAATCGCATTACATTTCTCATAAAATAAATGTTCCCATTTATATACAGAAGACAGACTGTACAGGCTGAGCCTGGCCCCAGGAGGGGTCCCACAGAGATGGGCAGTGGTGATGGAGAAAAGCCACCTTCCCATCAAGGATGAAGTTCTAGCTTGTAGGACAGCGGCCGGCCAGCCCGCTCAGGCAGAATGGCTGGCTGGCCGGCCAGACAGGTGGTCAGGCGGGCAGACGGACAGACGGACCTGGAGGCCAGATGCTGGGCATTACTGAACCTGGGATTCAAAGGTGCCATTGAGCTGCCCCTCCTCATAGTCCATCTGACACAAGATCATGTTGTTCTTCAGGAAGAATTTGTCTCCCACGCAAAATCTAGAAAAATCAAATCAAGAGAAAAAAATAAATAGGTGAGGCCCCAGTGAGAGGAGGTCCCAGCCTGGCCATGGAGGCAGGGCACGCAGGGGAGGCGGTGGTGCTGCTGAGCTGGCTGATGAAACTTCCCAGAGGATATAGAGGAAATGCCACAGCAAGCTCAATCAATTACAGATAACAGACCCCTGCAGCCTGAGGTGCTCGGGTGAGGCAGTCAAGCCACAGGCCTCCCACCTCACAGGAGGAGTGGAGGAGGTGCAGGGGGAAATGCAGAAAACTTATCCCAGTCCCAGAGAGGGCACAGAACTAGAACTAGATAGAGAGGAGAAGGATGGAGACTGAGAGACAAGAGGAAGGGAGAAGGATGGTTGTTTCTATCCCTCTGCCCTCCCAGCTTAGGGCTTGCCTCCTCTAAAGAGAGTGTGACACCAGTCCACCATTTATTCTCCAACCTGGAAAGATCACACGTGGGTCTCCTAGTAGTCCGGAAGTACCGGGGGATTTCAAGCTTCCCCTAAAAGATATCTCTTGGTGGCTGAGATGAAAAGCCCAGGGGCCAGTCAGTCCCGGCAGCAGAGCTCAGTCTAACCACCAGGTGGCGATGGAACTTCACAGAGCCCTTCTAGTCGGCAGTCTGGCCTGAGCACCCAGTCAGCCTAGTGTTCCCTGCAGGTCCCTCTGGACCTCAACCTGGGAACATTGGTATGAATTCCTACATGACTTGAGGGCTCCTGCTTTTTGGTGGTAGGTTCCAAGACAGGGGTGAAGGCCTTAAATCCCTCAAGTCTTCCCCAAGGACTAGGAGGAATAGGGCCCAGAAATTCACAAAAGAGCCAGGGGCCTGGAGGCAGAGTCATAGGATTGGGGTAGGGTAGTGATATTCCCTGAAGATATGTCTCACCCTGTGGCCTGGAAACTCCTTCTTACTAAACAGGACACAAAAACACATGCACACTGATACAGGATACTCAGAACACGTGAGTTTAAAACATGCGCAAAAACATTCTCACTTCATCATGTATACAGAGTGTGCACACACTCTCATGCATGAACAATTACAATCACATGCACAACTGCCTGCCAGTTTTGTGTACTAGTATTCCTATGTACACAAACATTTAAAATCCATATACAAGCACATATGTACAGGACACTGTGGCATATGCTCCTACAATCCCAGCACTCCCAGAAGTTGAAAGGTGGAACCAGGAGGATTGAGAGTTTGAACTCTCTATCCATAGCTACATCACTAGTGTGAGGTTAGCAAGGGCTACGTGAAACCCTGTCTCCAAACAAAAAGAATACAGTTGGTAGAGTGCTTGCCTACCATGGACACAGAACCCTGGCTTCAATCCCCAGAAAAGACTACACCAGGCTCGGTAATGCATGCCTGGAATCTCACTCAGGAGGTGAAAGCAGGAATTTAGGTTCAACTGTGGCTGCATAGCAAGTTTAAGGGCAGTCTGGGAGTCATAAGACCCTGACACAAACAACCCCTCCCCTAAATGTACATACACTTTTACACTATGTACACCATGTGTGCATAGTATGAAAACAAACACACTACAAAAACTTACCACCCACATATGTGTACCAGGGCTTGAATGCACACATCTGGCCAGGGTGTAGATACATACAGGTGCACATGTGTGGTAAGGACAGCATGCAGACTCAGCCACATAGACAAAAGAGGTCACACTTTCATGCAGGCTCTTCAGTGCTGCTGGCCCAACCGGCAGGTCTCTCAGGCTAGGGTCTGGGAAGCGTGTTAAGCTGGCTGAGGGTCTGGCACTTACCTCTGATTGCAGAGCTGGCAGGCAAAGCAGTCAAGGTGATACACATTGTCTCGGGCCCGCATCACCATCTCGAAAGCTGGGATCAGCTTGCTACAGGCAGCACAGTTTCCGGTAGTGCCAAAAAGCCTGCCAGGGGAATGGCACAGAGGGTTCAAGGCCTGACAAAGAGGTGCCTCCACCCGGGGCCCTGCCCGCTCCCTAGCTGGTGGGATAGCAAGTGGGCCTAGTCAAGAATTAACCACCACGTGTAGATCTCACCAGATTAAGCTTCAAAACACTGGCATCGCACTCCTCAGGAAGACTGTGTAACTTAAAGTCAGGCATTAGTAGACATCATCACCCTACACCCATTTCAGGTTTCTACCAGGATCCCTGGAATGCAGGCTGGTTCCTAAGCAAAGGCTTCAGACAGAAGCCTAAATTTCAGAGGCAGTCTGTCCTTCATGGGCTGTATAACCTCAGGTGGTCCTGGAGCCCCCCAGAACCCCAGTTATCCCGAGTGTCAAAGACCAAAATGCATCGCTCACTAGACAAAACACTCAGCAATGCCTAACCTTAACACTAACTGAACCTGTGGCTCAGAGACACACTAAGAGCTTACCAAAAAAAAATCACCTCGTTTGATCCCAAAGCAGCCCTGTGAGGTCAACACTTGTGTCATCCCCATTCAAGAAAAGAATGAGTCATAGGGAGATAAACAACTCACCAGGGACACATGCCTGGCTGCTCTGGGAGAGTGATCTATGCCACCGATGAGGACTTCTTGCTTTTAAAATTAGAGTGCTTTCTGGGGCTGCAGCTCAGTTGATAGAGTGTTTGCCTAGTATGCAAGAAGCCTTGGGTTCCACCACTAGTCCACGGGTTCCATGTGGCTGTCCATGTCTATAATCTTAGCACCCAGGAGGTAGAGGCAGGAGGAATGGGAATCCAAGGAAATTCATGTCTACACGGGGAGTTCGAGACCAACCTAGCTGACATGTCCCAGAAACAGATAAAATTATAGGGTTTTATGAAACTGTATTCTGCCGTAATCTCACTGTGTCATTCACCTATATTTTCTTTTCTTTCTTGGAATCTCAGTTTATCCTTTTTAAAACGAGGCTGCTAGGGGCCAGCACAGCCTTCCTAAAGATGCTTCTCACCCAGAACTGATCTCCCCAAAACAAGTTGAAAGGGGACCTGACACAATGGGCTCTTTAAAAGGGCATCCCTCCTCTCTGCTGCTGGCCACAAAGCCCTGGGGACGGGAGGTTCACTCCACCCCATTCATGGCAATTCTTGGCTGGGTGCTGTAATGGTCTGAGCAGACCACACTCCTCCTGGCTTCCTTTCTGCTGAGCAAGCTCCAAAAGATGCAAGGGGGCTCAGAGGCGGGTGGTAGGGGCCTCTAATCCCTGATTTGTCCGATGCAGGCTCAGACACCTGCAGACCAGCTCCATTATTCATTGGCTTGAGCTGCCTGGTGGCTCAGATAAAGGCAGACAAAGGCTGGGCCACAGCATCTGCCTGCCGATGGGGGCCTTTTCTGCCACCAGCAGTTGTTGCAAAGGGCCTGGCTCTGGGAAGTAGCCCCTCGCTGACCTACTGGCCTCCCCAGTTCCAGAAGTTATTTACTGCCCTATACCAGAGCATGGGGGGAAATGCCTCCGCCCCTGTGGCTGGCAGGACTCAGGGTTGTAGGTGCCTTGGAGTTCCTGACAAACCCACACTGCATTATGGTGCTCCTTCTCTCAGTCCTGATGGCCCGTCATCAGTTAGATCATCACCTCCCCCTAGCCTGTAATTCAACCACCCAGGTAAATGTCCCAAACCTCTAGACTTAAAGGCCCCTTTCCATGTCCTCAAGGGTTGACTTCCCAAGAGCATCTTTAGCCCTTCCTCCCTGCCTCAGTTTCCCTCTTCACCCTCAAAGCACTAAACACCATCACTTTAAAAAGAAATCTGTTGCTAAAGCTAAAGGCAACAGTTGAAAGGAAAGGTGTAGAAAGGTAAATCTCAGGTGCTCTGGGGAAGGTGGGAGTTTCCAGATAACTCTGCCCCCTCCAACTTGTTCTGACTTGAGCAGAAGTCCTGCCAGCTCTCACCCTGTCCTGCTAATTAATGCAATGGGCCTTCCTTCCCCACAAGGCTGCCCAGCCACCATACAGCAGCTAGTGACAGAGCCAAATGCAGGTGCTGGGTCTCAGCCAAGGCTCCTGCTTCATGGTCTCCTTCCAGCCCTGCTGATGTCATAAATGGCCTAAGGGAGGGTTAATCAGGGGAAGGCAGCCTCAGGAGATGAGATCCAGGTTGTGGGGAGAGGCAGAGCTCTGAAGAATGCAAGGTGGGGTATACTGGGTTTAAACAGACAAAAGGTTAAAAACTAAAAGCTTGGGGCTGGTTCAAACTCAATCTTTAAAAAGCATTGGCAGTCCTTGTCCTAGGGTAACCAAGGCAAATGAGAGCCTAATCCCAACACACCTGAAAAGGAGGACCCTGTGGAGAGGTGGGCATGAGATGCCACTAGAGAGGAAGGCCCAGGCAAGTCTGGACTACTTCATCTGCTTCTCCAGGCCCCTTTGAGATGTCTCCTCTTGGATACCCACAAGAGACTGGTGAGGCTGAAGCTAGGCTGGTACCCATGGGAAGACGATCTTAGTGTCCAATAGCTACTAGCACCTGGCTAGCTAGTGTGGGGCCGAGTCTGAGAAGCTAAAGATGTAACCCTGGCTCACAGGGCTGACCTGAGCCAGTGAAGGAGGAGGAGTCCCAAGGCTATACACATAGGCTGCCTGTTTTCAAGCTTGGAGCCAAATTGCACCAGGCTAGAAAGATGGAGGCTGTGTGGGTCAGGCAGTGCAGCAGAACCCACCTCAGGTAGTCACGACGGCAGAGGATGAGGTTGGCCTTGGTGTAGAGAGTGGAGCCCACCTCGCCCAGGCGGCAGTCACAGCAGGCACACTTGAGGCAGTCCTCATGCCAGTACTTGTCCAGTGCCTTCAGCAGGTACCTGTCCTTGATCTTGCGGTTGCAGCCTGCACAGCCCTTCTGCTTCCCTTTAGGTTGGACGGAGAGCATCGGCACACCTGCGGTGAGAAAGCAAGACAGATGAGCTGGGCACTGCCCTGGAGGTCTGGAACAAGCCCCTTTCAGGGAAGGGGGGTTATGCTGTTGTCTCTGCTGCTGCTTCTAAGTCAAGGCTCCCAGGAGTCCTCATTTTCTATCTCCTCCCCAGGCCCCAAGCCTGGCCTTTGGGAAACATGCCATAGCCTATGCCTTTGTCCTGTCAAGACCCCTCCAGAGGCTGCTGGCTTTGCTGGGCCCTTCTCCTCCCTACTCACTGTCCCCTTTTTGATCTGATCCAGGCAGACCCAAGTTCTCCTAACAGAGCTATAGCTGGCCACAATAGGTCTAAGAATGAGGTCACTAAGATCCCCAGATCGTTCTCATTCCCTTCACTCTTTTTTGAAGTGCAACAGCCAGTGTGCTTTAGATCACTTCAATCTCTCCTCATACATACCAGTATTGAGAAGAAAGTAGGGGCTCAGGGTGACACCTGGGGAGGCATGTGGGGTGCCCCTCTGGAATGCTTTGGCCAAAGTCAAACTTTCACGTGGCCTGGCCTGAGTGAAAGAGAGGTTCCAGAGCCTCTGAAGCCTGGTTCAACCTCCCAGTTCAGGAATCTCCCAGTAACAGCTTCCTGCCAGCTTGTGCAAGCATCTCAACATATAAAGGGCAGCAAGTACCAGGCAAGATCCAAGTGTGCAGTCACTGAAGGCAGAGGCTGCTGGTAGGTAAGACACACCTTTGTACACAACATGATGTGCAAGTGTGGGCGTGGGCGAGCACACAGTTACACATGCCTGGTCCCTTCCATTCCCCTGGAACCACAGGGAAAGAGAGTTGAGGAGGAAATAGAGGCATGTGGTGCCCAGGGGTGAGAAAGATGAAGATGCTGGGAGGCCAGAAACCAAGTCCATGACTGCACAAGAGGAGCCTCTTAAGAAAGCAGAGGGCGAGTTAAAGGCAGTCTTTATCCACGATCAAGGGTCAGCCAGCAAAGCCCACTCTTCCAACAGGCCTAGAGTGTCTGTTTCCATTGGCCTTCTCCTGTCCCAAAGACCCATCTATGTTCTTTCCAAGTGTAGCACTCACTTCCAGCCCTGGGTATCTCTCTCATCCCCAGCCCCGATGCTGTGCCCATCCACAGGCCCAGCTGCTAATCTACACTCCTCCATTTCTCCTTTCTCTTCGGGAAGGAATCCATCCTCTGTCTTCAGGAGAGAACCCGACACCTAGAGACCTTAAAATCATAGATGTCAGGTCAGAAAGGGCCTCAGTTTTCCAGGCAAACACTCTCCTTCTACAGATGGGGAAACTGAAGCTTAGGTGTTTAGAGAGACAACTGTAAACCAGTGAATGGGATGACTTCAGGATTTGCTCCTCTCCTGTGCTTTCTTAACGCAGTCACCCCCTGTGACTTATGCTGAAGAAGAGAACAGCCCCTAGGTCAGGGGAGCCCTCTCTGCAAGAAGAGAGCTCAGACTTAAGACAGCACAGGACCAAAGGGACAGGTGAGGGCATGGAGGAGGAGGCCCTGTAGCTGCCCCTGGCAGGCAGAGGTCTGCTCCCTTTTCCCTCCCTCCTTCAGTCATTGTAAGACCATCTGTTAGCTGGGAAGTTCACTGCCTAATTCCCTTAATGCAGCTCTAAAGGTTAATTGGTCTGAATGAGAGATAGTATTCACGATGATGGCTGTCCTAGGGTCAGCCTGTGTCTCCTCCAATAGAGCCCAGCTCTGTCCATGAAGCAGACCCCATGAGAAGTTCCTTCTAAAGGCCTGGCCTGCAAGGAGGGATGGAGTATAGGAAAACAGGGAGAGGCCCATGGCTCTAAGGATGGGGAGATTGCACCTGGGGGCCCATAGAGGGACACCCAGCCAGAGAACTGTTCATTTGAACACTAACGTAGAGCTCAAGCTAGAGCCCTCATAGCCTGAAGAAGACTGCTGCCCTTTTCTTTCACCTGCTATGTAGAGGGCTTGGTTCCTCCAGGGCTCTGTACTTGGGCTCTCACTCCTGTCTCCCCAGCCCCCTCTAGCCAGCCAGCCAGCCAGCCAGCCAGCCCCCTGCAGACTCCCCCACCCCTCCTCTGCTGGCTCTGGGAGCAGAGCCTGGGGCCATGCACTTTCCATTAGGGAGATAGCAGCCCTCTGCTGAAGTCCATTTGGGATCCATTTTAGCGTTATCTAAAAATCAAATCTACATGGTAATCCTTTTAACGTACTCCCGACTTCAGGAGGAAAAAAAAAAAAAAAGCTTTGCACTCCTTCAGGAAAGGTTTTAAAGCATTACCCAATAATTACTAGTCACGCATGAAAACACCCATCTTTAACAATGGAGGCTGCTTGTGTCCACACACATGCCCAGGCACACATACTGGGCCTGGCAAAATAACCAGTTCACTTAGCCCATGTGCCACCCTCAATCTCAGAGTATTTGAAAGGAGACAGGGTGAACTCCTGCCTTTTTCTGTCACATGGAGGGAGGCAGCAAGGCTGATGAGGGAGGTAGAGAGGCTATGGGGGAAGCCTTCCAGGTGAAGTCTCAAGGTCCCACTCAGCAGCAGCGAGTTACCTAAGGGGTCTGTACTAGGCTCCAGAGTGGTATAACTCTAACTCCCAGGCTCTGCAGAACTCTTACATTTACTCTCAGCTCTGCAATGGGCCTCCAATGACTTGCAGCAGAGTGAAGCAGACACACCAGGGTGGAAAACTAGCCTTGCAGAAGGTAGCTAGAGTGGGCAGGGTGCTCCCGTGACTCCGGCCTGTCCATAGTGGAGCCCATAGGCTTTGCTCTTTGGAGAAGCCCATACGCCACTGGAGAGGAGCAGCCTAGGTTGGGCTGCATAGGTAGGAGTTGCTGAGGCTGTAGGTCTGGCTGGCTGGCAGCTTCTTGTGCAGAGAGCCTCTGTCCAGAAGAGGCAGGGAGGAGGGCTGATGGCCTCTGTCATCTCGTCGATGGGATATTGGTTTTGCCCCCATTGCAGAGGGATGCCCCTACCGGGCTGCACTGTCTACCAGTGATAGAGACTGCACACACCAGTGTGTCCTGCCTGCTCCTGCCAGAATCCTGCTTTAGCCCCCTGGGGACCTTGCTTAATTTCTGCCACCACTGCTGTAGGAGAAATGCCATCATCCAGGCTATGTTCTCTGTCCCCTAAAGGGCACAGTGGGCCCTCGGCTGGGGGTAGTGTAGACTTTCAGGAAGCTAGAGGCCTGAAACAGGCCCCTTATTCATACTGAGCTGCACCTCTGACATGGGGCCATGTGGTCTTATTGTCCACAGACTGTGGTGGATCAAGATGAAGCTAGGAACCTGAAGCCCTATAGCCCAGAGGCTGGAATGGGGTAAGGGACAATACACACTTCGTTATGTGCTATTCCTCTGGGCACTTGTTTCTAAGTTTTGTTTTTTTTTTTTTTCTTATCATTTTGAGCTTTATAGTCTTTTAAAGATTAATTCTGTGTCAGTGTGTGGGTGTGTGCATGTGAATACTAGTGCCTGTGGAGGCCAGAAGCATTGGATTCCTAGAGCCAGAGTTATAAGCAGTTGTGAGCCAGTGGACATGGGTGCTAGGATGTAACCTCAGGTCCTCCGTAAGAGCATAACCTCTGAGTGTAACCTTCGTGTGATCATAACCTCTGAGCCAGCTCTCTAGCCTCTGATTTTTATTAAGTGCTCATTTATACACGGGTCTGCTGTGCACATGTGAGTGCAGTGCCTATGGAGGTCGGAGATGGGCACTAAGGTCCCCCGGACTAGAGTTACAGGCTGCTACGAACTCCCCAGCATGGGTACTGAGAACTGTGCTCAGGTATTCTGCAACAGTCATGGTGTTTCATCACAGCAACAGTAATCCTAGCTAAGAGAGTCATTCACTTGAACCTAGAGGAATTAATTCCCAGGAGTTTGAAGACATCAGCACTTGTGAGGCAGAAAAGGCCAGTATCCCTGATCTGGTTTATCTGATGTTTCCTGTAGCCTTCATTAACCCTGGGCCTTAATTTTTCTCTTTGTAAAATGGGTATGAAAACACATTTGCCAGGCATGGTGGTACACTTCTTTTAATCCCAGCACTTGGGAGGCAGAAGTGGGTGGATCTCTGTGAGTTTGAGGACAGCCAGGAACTGCTTTGAAAAAACTAAGAAGAGAAAGTAGGGAAGGAAAGGGAAAGAGAAGGAAAGGGAGGGGAGAGGAGAAGGGGAGGGAAGAAGGGGGAAGAAAAGGGGAGGGAAAGAAAGGGAAAGGAAGGGGAATGAAGGGAAGGGGAAGGGAGGAGAAGGGAAGTGAGGGAAGAGGAGGGAAGGGGAGGGAAGAGAAAGGAAGGGAAGGGCAGAGAAGAGAGGGAAATGGAAGGGAGGAAAGGAAAAGTCTTCTCAGAGAGTGGCTGTGAGTTGTAAAGGAGTCTTTGGGACTATCTGAGCCTGCCTGTCACATGAATGCCACTGACTCAGTGCACAGGAAAGGTCAACTGTCACAGCCCCACCTCAGGGTCCTACAGTAGGGACAAATGCACTCCCTTTGCAGAGCAGCAAATGGATCTGACCTAGCCACTGTGCTCAGAGTCATGTGGGCTCTGGCCAGGGTTCAGTGTCATCCAGAGGCCAGTCCAGTAGTCAGAGCAAGCATGTCCAGGAAGAAGGCAGCCCCATCTGTTTGCCCAAAAGATAGCTCCAGTGGCCAGATGAGTGGTAGAGTGTGGCCATGGGGCTCAGAGGAAGGCCCCTCAGAGAGTCTAAGCAATGTTCTGGGGGCCAAGGTATGAACAGGTATCTGTCATAATCCCTCAGTGGACTTCTGTGTTGGTTCCTTAGTAGGCCAGAGAAGGTGAAGAGTCAGTTGTAGGCCCTGCCGAGAATCTCATAGCAAAACATGGATGCCTGGTTGCCTGGTGCCTTCCAGGGTTCCCCCTTTTCACTATGAGCACCCTTGACCCTGTGACAGACAGGGACCCTGGGATGGGCAGTCTGACCTAGGGCCCTAAAAGTTTTATTCACTTGCTATCATTACTTCCATTCTAACAG